ATTTTCTGAATAGTAACCTTGAATCTAGCTACTTTCTTTTATTTTTTTAAAACCCAAAAACTATTTTCCTTAGAAACTTACCATTGCTACCTACTTTTATTTATTGTTTTAAACCTAATCAACCTAGTTTAATCACTTAGGATTATATCTTTTGTGACTCTAGTTCTTTGTGGATTCGATCCTTAAGTACTACGATTGAACCTCTTATTTGAGAGAGTAATTCACTCCTTAGGGTTAAACATTTGAGTGATATCAACATTTTATTACATGCAAGATCAAACCAAATATCAAGTATCATTATATTTTTTAATACTTGTCTCGTTACTTTTCTCATTACTTGCTATTTGTTACATGCTCTATTAAATACTAACTAGGTTAATGTCCGCACCTTACGCGGAGTGAAACTAATATTACATTATCTTTGTTACATTATATTTCATGAAATATAGTTTGTAACTTAAAAAATAATTTACAACTTGAAAAATAGACACTAAAAACATGCATATTTTCGTATAAAATAATGTTCTATAAAAAGGTAGTCTACATTTTCTTTGATCCAAATTGTAATAAACCATAATAGATTTTTGTCATGTTTTCTATAGTAATATATCCAAACCTAACATATTTGATTGAGCTATGGACTAAATTAATTTGTGTGAATGTTCTTATAGTAAAATATAAATTATATTAAAAAAATTGGAGTGTTTTATGTCTTTTTTTTTTTGAAAAGATTTTATGTCATTTTTGAAACATCCATTTCAGGAATTTCTGGATCAAATGAAAGAATAAAAAAAAAACAATACTCGAATGTTTTTTTTTTTTTGACATCAAACGGCTGATCTATTACTCAAAGAACTTGAGGTGGTCTGGGAATCCAGACTGGAATAGAACAACCAACGTACACAAGCTTACGATAATAAGACCTAGCTGTCTTAGCGAGAGAATCAGAAACACCATTCTGTAATCTAGGGACATAAGAGATCTTAAAGTTAGGGAAGCAGATCTTCAGGGTCTCCAGATTTTCCAGTTCTGTTGAGAAGTTAGGCCATGCCTTAGGATTCTTGAGCATCTCAATCATCTCCTTGCAATCAGTTCCAAAGCTCTGACATGGCGAATGTTGAAGCATATTCTCCATTTCCCACCGCAGTGCTTCCAACTCTGAATGCAACGCCGATTCCACTCAATCAAAATTGCGCAGCCCCATTAATTCACTCTATCCGAAATTGTCATTCAGCACCCATCCACAACCACTGAAAATATTTGTAGAGGTCCAAGAACCATCTACCATGCATATATTAGCCAAACTTAAGATCTGGTCTTCCTCTGTTCCGTTCCCAGTGGACACCGGAATTTCCTGCTCATTTGCTTTGAACCATGCTTGGCATTCGCTTTCTGCATATCGTGCAATCTCCAATGGTTCCCTATCAATACCTCTGAATAGCTTTTCATTCCTAGCCTTCCAAATGTACCAGATTAACCAAGGATAAGGATCCCTGTCCAAATCCGGTTCCATTATCGCATTCTTCCTCCAGAACAAATAATCCATATTCGCGTACGTGCTTTGTACTGGGAACAAAGCGGGATTGGTAGGCGTGGATGATAGTGCCCAAACTTGTAAAGCAGGTGGACATTCAAATATTGCATGAGTGATCGTCTCCTCAGGTGCCCCACAACGAGGACAATGGTTGTCACATCTCATATGTCTGTAGTTTAAGATGCTCGTAACTGCAACATGTCCTGTTATCAACTGCCACATAAGATGACAAATCTTTTGAGGGGCTCTGACCTTCCAAGCATGTGCTTGGAGTTTAGTGATACTAGGTTCACATACTACTGTTTCCTCTTCCTTCCTCAAGATATTCCGTGCTACCTAGTACCCAAATTTTACTGTATACTGTCCATTCCTTGTATAGCTCCAGCAATACGTATCCCGTCGATGCGTGGAACTAATGGCCATACTCTTGATCAATGGTATATCAACTGCCTCAATATAATCTTGTAATCGCCTCTCATCCCAACTCTTCGTTGTTTGGTTAATCAAGTCACTCACTCTCATATTTGGATGCATGACCGGAGCAAGTGAAGTTGCTTGTCTCGCAGGTATAGTGGGAATCCAAGGGTCATCCCAAACTCTTACTTCATAACCTGAGTGTACTTTCTGTCTGATTCCTAGTAATAACAGCTCTCGTCCTGCCGAAATTCTTGTCCACACATATGATGGGTTGCTAGCATTAATTTGAAGCAACGGCGTACTCAATCTATAATAACAGCCTCGCAAAACACGAGCTACCAGAGAATCCGGATTCTGCACTAGTCTCCACATTTGCTTCGCAAGAAGCGCAAGGTTAAACTCATGGATCATCCTAAAGCCAATCCCACCTTCTTCTTTGGGTAGGCATATTTTGTCTCATGTTGACCAATGAATACCCCTTTTTGGCGGATTAGAACTCCACCAAAACTGTGCAATGGCACTAGCTAAATTCTCGCAAATCTCCAATGGGAGAAGGAAACAAGACATTACATACGTCGGCAGAGCTAGGAGGATTGATTTGATCATAACTTCTTTTCCACCTTTGGAAAGCCATCTACCAGTCCACCCATTCACTCTATTTCTCAGCTTGTCCTTGAGAAAAGCAAAAAGCTTGCATTTTGAACCACTGATATCCTCTGGTATACCTAAGTATGACCCCATTCCACCTTCATTCTGGATCCCAAGCGTGTCTTTTATCTCTTGTCTCACATCCTGGCCAATTCTTTTACCAAAGAGTAAAGAAGACTTATCAAAATTAATGCATTGTTCTGAAGCTTGTCCATATACCTTGACCACTTTCATTACTTCTTCACATTGACGGGGCTCCGCCTTACAGAAAAATAGACTATCATCAGCAAAGAGAAGATGGGATACCGAGGGACACGCACGCGTGATACGCATCCCTGTTATCTTTCCTTGGCTCTCTGCATGATTTAGAAGGCTAACGAGCGCTTCCGTGCACAGAATAAAAATGAAAGGGGACAAGGGATCCCCCTGTCTTAGACCTCTCTCCGGAATTATATTTCCTCTTGGTTGACCATTCATGAGGACCTTGTACTTTACTGATGTAACACATCTCATTATCATAGTAATCCAGACTTCAGAAAATCCCATCTTTCTCATGGTGGCCTCGATGAAGGACCACTCCATCCTATCATATGCCTTGCTCATATCATTTTTGATAGCCATCCTCTTATTTCGGCCACTCGGTATCGTTCTTAAAGCATGAAACAACTTCTGAGCTATCATAATATTGTCTGATATCTGTCTCCCAGCAACAAAGGTTGACTGGGTCTCTGAGATCCTATCTGGTAAAAACTTCTTCAATCTCTGGCATAAGACCTTAGAGATAATCTTATAGCTAACATTGCATAAGCTAATAGGGTGTAACTTACTCATCTGGTTTGGCTTATCCACTTTTGGAATGAGGCAGATGTTGGTATCATTTAAACCAGTCGGCACCGTTCCCTCAAAAAGGAATTGATTAACCATAAGGGTTAGATCATTCTTAACAATATCCCAGAACTTCTGGTAAAACAACGCCGTCATCCCATCTGGTCCTGGAGTTTTCTCCTGGTGCATCGCGAAAAGAGCCAATTTAACCTCCCATTCAGTAACCGGAGCTGTCAAAGTCTCATTATCGGATAAAGTAATTGTGGCTGATACTTCAGAAAGAGCCTCCTCTATTGACTCAGGATTGGATGATTGAAAGATGTGTCTAAAGTAATTCGTAGCAATGGCTACCAATCCTTCCTCATCTTCCACAACATTTCCATCTGCATCCAGTAATTGGGTAATCCTATTCCTTGCCCTCCTTTGCTTCGTAATGCTGTGAAAAAATTTGGTGTTCCTATCCCCCTCTCTCAGCCAGAAAATCCTGCACTTCTGTTTCCAAAACATCTCCTCTGCCTTAAGGGCATCGGATAGCTCCTTAATAGCTGCTGCAATCTCTTCAGTAGTGGCATCGTCATTTGAAGATAATCGATCCACCGTTTCCTTAAGCTCCTCCACTGTTTTCTCAGATTTCAGATTATTCTGCTTTTTCCATTCACTTAAAGCACGCCGGCAGCTCGCAATGTGGTCCATTATACTTGCATCTGGCGGGAGATCAGGTGATTTCCAGCCTTCAAGTATAATTTCCCTGAGCTCACCGTTATCCAACCATCTCTTATCAAATTTGAAGTTCTTTGATCTCCTAGGTTTCTTTTTAAGAATGTCTGCTAGGACCGAACGATGATCCAATCCCCATAATCTCAAATACTTCACTTTGGAATGAGGGAACTTCTCATGCCAGTCCTCATTCCCAACAGCCCTATCAAGACGACATCGAACTGTCATCCTTCCTGCTCTATTTCAAACCCACGATAGCTTGTTACTTGTGAAGGGAAATTCCAGCATACCACAATCACTTAACATTTGCCTGAACGGCAAAAAAGAGCTATCGATGCGTTGTCTGCCACCTTCCTTCTCCTCATGACAGGTTATTTCATTAAAATCTCCTATCATAAACCAAGGTCCATTCCTAGTTGTTGAGAAACGCGTAAGACGTTCCCAAACTAAATCTCTTTGTTCTATAACAGGATCCCCATAAACAAACGTCATGTAAACTTTTATTCCATCAATGACTGCCTCAATATCAATCATTCTGTTATTTGAAAATAAAACATTAACTTTAAAATCATCCATAAAAAATAAAGCTAAACCTCCGCTGAGACCAAGTGGCTCAACGATAAATAAACGATCATATCCTAAGTCGGCCTGAATGTCTTGCAACAACAGCCTCCTATTCTTCGTCTCAGATAGAAACACAAATCCTGGGCGATGTTTCTGACACATCTCCGTAAGACGTTGAACTGTGAGGTCGCTTCCAATCCCTCGACAGTTCCAACTGATTGTCCTCATGGATGAGGGTGGGATGAGTTTTTGGAACCCATCGAAACCTCATGCGATGTGGATACGTCTCTGATCCTTAGTGGCCCTTGCCTAGAGTGCTGTCTAGAACCTCCATCATCCCTGGAGCTGGACTTTGATCGTTTACTTGGAGAACCCCTACGGAGGAACTCAAACTTCTTAGACTGAATGCCCAAAGGGACATTAGATCCTCCGCCATGTCGTCTGCTGCGAACATATGTGCTTCCTGCCCTTAATTCCATGTTCTCATTGCGTGCCTGTTGTGAGCAGTTGTTAATTTCCTCAGCCTCCCTTAACTCCTCACCTAAAAGATCATCGTCATTAAGCACATCCTCGCCATGATTATCCATATTGTCCATATCATTAAGAGCTCCAATCATCTGATCCTCCCCATCTACATCCTGGCCATCCTCATGTGAGAAACATAATGATATAGCAACCCCCTTATCTCTGGTTGTTACATAACTCTTCCATATTGCATCGTCTGCTGATGGCGTGACAATCTTGCTCGCCAAATGTTTAGGGTCAGGCGCAGTACCAGTATGAGTACTCTCGCGCAAAACATCATCATCATTGGTTCGGGAGACGTGGGATTCAGGTCCTGAGACTTTATCAGCAACTCCACTTTTGATATTACTCCTTCGTGAGACGTGATTCTGATGTTTGGTCGCAGATGGAGTCACAGACGAACTATGATCACCATCTTGAGTAGGTTTATCTATCGCTTTTATCCTCCAGTGTTGTTCACCTCTCTGGTCATAGGGACCTGAAGAGTGTCGCGATCTGCCATGAGTCGAGGCCCTGTACCTATCATCATGACGTCTCATTACTCTGTCTGAGCGCACCTGTCCACGTCGTTGCTCAATCACCGGCTGGTTTCGCAATCGACGGTCTTGTCCGGAGGGGACAGAAGGGCCACGGCGGGATTCAGGCTCCCGGATCAAACGTCGCATGATGGGCAATAAGCCTTTTCATGAGACATCAAGCCACAAGTATCACAATGCTTGAACAACTTGTCATACATTATTGTAATGGTGAAGTCATCTCCCTCCGATGTTTGCACTTTCATCGAGAATTTCAGTGGCTTACGGGAGTCTATATCTATGAGCATACGACCCTCAGATAACTCCAATGTATCAACATGACCAAGCCTATCTCCTACGTCACGTAAATTTCGATCAGTCCATAGGTGCAAAGGAAAGCCAGTTATCTGAACCCATAATAGGATTATCCATGGATATTCATCATGAATAACCGGTGTCCATCGAACCAATACGAACATGCAGAAGTTATAGTGGAAGGGACCCTGTCGAAGAACAGAGTTTAGGTCTTCCTCAGAGCTTCAAGCTACTTACATATGAAAGACATTATTATAACAACAATAATAATGCACAATGCGATAATACATGACTCAAAGGTGTAAATGTTTTTGGGCTTAGATTTCTGAAAACAAATGAGAGCATGATCATGTACCGATACCAAGTAGCTGTCCACCACTTTAGTTCTAGGTATTGTATGCAGAAATATTTAATAGATGCAAATGATTTTAAGTTCTTTTAAATAAATTATTCAAAATAATTTAACAGCTTATAGTTTCAGTTAAACGAATACATAAAAATATTCAGTGTAACATTATAAAGAGAATAACATAGTTGTTTTAGTTCAGTACTTGCTCTAGAGGCTTGCAGCAACTTGAATTGATGATGGTAGTTCCAAAAATGAATATAGGAAAAATACTCAGTTTATCATATAGAAAATAACATGTAGATATTTTAGTTCGTTAGTGCTTTAAATGATTACATACAGTATATCTCGAGTAGTGATGGTTGTATAGTAGAAATGAACACTATGGCATTGTTCCCATAAATAGCACATATCACACGATGATATTAATATTAACAATGTATTATAAGAAAACACCAATGGCAATTTCTGTAATTATTCTAGTAATGGAAGGTTAATTTATTATTTTATTTGAGGATGATTGTGAGCTTGACATGTCATCATGGCATGTAATTAAGTAATAACATATAATTTTAAAATTATTATTTTTTAAATGTTTCTGGATTAATAACTAAGAGATTACTTGCTAATAATACATGTCATTTGTTTTACTTACATCTGGAGGTGGACCCAAATACTCTATACTCGTCTTATACTTATTATTTGTTCGAATCAATATTTATTTTTCAAGTATTCGTTGTCGTCAAGTTAAATATTAAATAGTAAAATTTAGATACTTACAAGGTAAGATAGGTAAGAAGTATTAATTTTTTCTTACCTGTATTACTTTTTACTTGCCAAGATAAACTATAAAATGATTCTATCTCAAAATATTCATGTCTTTTTTTTTTCCTTTTTATAATATGCATAAATATTTCGTAACAATAATACTCATGTTTTTAATATAATAAACAAAACAAATTTCATGTCCATTTCTAATAGAGTATTATTTATTAGGTAATTCTTACATATTCAGAATTACTTGTAAATAGCTGGTAAGTAACAAGTAATAGAAAGGAGCAAGTAACTGTTGTTCAAAAAAAAAGGAGCAAGTAACTCATTTTTCATTAAATACTCGAGACATAAAAATATTCGTTCCTAATAAGTCAAGTACAAATCTAAATTTTTATTGCTAGTACAAGGCAAGTTAAGTATTTAATACACTTAAAATAATGAGTATTTGCCTTATGTCCAACCCTAGTTTATCGTAAGAGCAGATTTTACTGGAAAAGAAGTTGTCAAGTGGAACAAAATTATAATTTGTATTGCTTGATAATGACCTTATATGTTGAGTTGAACTTATAATCAAAAAAGTATTTGAAGAATTAATTTTTTTTTATATAAGAAAAGCTTATCACATTTGCAGTGCCGGTCCTGAATTTTTAGAGGTCTCATACAAAATCAAAAATAATAATTATAATCATTAAAATATATTAAATAATTCATAAAAAAATATTTTTCATATTAGTTACACATTTGATATAAACAAACAAATGAATTGAAATAAAGAAAATTGCACCCTATAGATATAAGAAAATCAAATTAGGTAACAAGCCAAATTTCCCTTCTCTCTCTTCCAACCTCTTCCTATCTCTCTCTTCCAACCTCTTCCTGTCTTCCAACCTTTTCCTATTTCTCTCTTCTCTCTATTTAAAATCTAATTTTCTTTTTATATGGCTATTTCATAAATAAGCCCTTGAAATAATTTCTATAAGATAATTTCATGTTCATAGTTTAATTAGTTTATTTATATGAATTTTTTTGTTTAATGTATTTTGTTCATTATTTTTAATCTAAATAAGCTAAAAATAGTTTTTCTTTTTAAATTGTGAGCCCTACAAAAGTGTGGGCCCCCAATCAAATGTATGATAAGTATGCTTTGGTCCGACACAATGCACATTTGCCTCTTTAGATTTAGGAAGGGTTTCAATGAAATCCGATGGACGCTTCTGGCCATATTTATGATGGAAAGTGGGATTGGGTGTGAAGTAAGCCAGCTGGATTAATCGAAGACCATATATAAACTCACATTAGCCATGACGATACTAGAACAAGATCTTAAGAGTAAATACAAAAGGATTAACATTGCCCATGAAATTCTGAGTTTTTACAACAATGCGAATTAAAGAAAAAGGCGACAAAGAACGTCTTAATTCGGAACAATGTTCTAAAGAACATTTATGATCCCGGGAACACCACGTAAATAAACACGTGTGTTTATGAATAATTTAAACTTTCAAAGATAGCTTCTGAGCTGTAAGTGCTTCAGCCTCAAGGGTCGGCTCCCAGAGAAGCGTGGTCTCTGCCAAAAGTGAGGTCACAACGTATGGGTCCATGTTTGACGCTGGGCGCCGATCTTCCAAGTAACCTATACTCCAATTTCACAACGATATGTTAGCAATATATAGATATCCTAAAAAAATATGTGATACCATTCCAGAATTATGTACCTTTTCCTTTCTTCTCGGTATCACGTCCCACACGAATTGAGCATCCACGGTTAGCCACGCCCTGCGAAGTCCATGTTTAATGCAAATGAGAAGAGGATTAATAAAAACGTGAAGATATCTTTTAGACTCTTGTTGCATATATGCATACCCATGAGAACTGATCGATACTAGCTGTCTCGTGCTTTCCAGTCAACCTCCTCTCATTGCCTTCACCGTATGCACTGATGTGCTCCATGTGACGAAGCGAGAGGTTCAAAATTGCCTTCTTAATCACCTCAAATCCGCCTTCCTCTCTCATGCTCTTTGTACTGTAATTGGTATGACAACCAGCACCATTCCAGTCACCCTCTATCGGCTTGGGATCAAGTGTTAGGACAACACCAGCTTGTTCTGTGATTCTCTGCAAAAACAAACGTTAAACAACAGTTACTTATAATAGATCAACTCTCAATGTTTCTCTACAAAAAGAACTCTTGATTACCTCAAGAAGGTATCTAGCACACCAAACATGATCACCTGCTTCGATTCCTACGCTCGGGCCAACTTGGAATTCCCACTGCACATAATAGTGTTTATAACAATTGAGGATTGACAACATTAATTCAACGTAATTTATAATCAGGAGCTTCGTTTGAGAAAAGAGTACCTGTCCTGGCATAACTTCACCATTAGTACCACTAATGTTAATTCCAGCATATAAACAAGCTTTGTAATGAGCATCTGAAATGTCACGTCCCCAAGACTTTTCTGCTCCAACTCCACAGTAGTAAGGACCCTGATATCAACAAATAAAAAAATTGGTTACTTATTTTGTAAACCAAACAAAAGTTTTAGATTGACTTGGTTATCACCTGAGGACCAGGATAAGCTCCAACAGGCCAACCCAAAGGCCAGTTTACGTTTGGCTGAAGTAAAGTGTACTCTTGTTCAATGCCAAACCTAAAATTAGTGTTCGAATATAAGCACCAAATATAAAATAAATTGATTTGGGTTTAAACCAACAAACATAAAGACTGTTTAATCACAAACCATGGAATCTCTTCATTGACCTTCTTGTTGCTGAAAATCTCAGCAGCTTTAGCACGTTTGTTTGTTGGAATTGGCTCACCAGCTGGTGTGTAGGTATCACAGATAACCTTCACATAAATAATGCTCAATACTTAGTGTGTGACTACGAAAATGTTGCAAAGTCAAATGAGACACATACCAATATGTTATTGCCTCCACGGAAAGGATCTCTGAAGATAGCTTGCGGACTGAATAACAACAGCATCAGTACACGAATATGAGATAACGAAATAAATATCAAATGAGAGAATGTTTACACCCTTGAGAAAAGTCTTACTAGAGAATCACTTCACTATCTTCCCCAGGTGCTTGTCCTGTACTCGAGCCATCATAGTTCCACTTGGGAAGCTCAGAAGGATCTTCCACGGGCTTTTCAAGCGTCTGAAGTTTCAAAAAATCATTCATTTGTCTATGAGTTAGTTTCTAGTATAAATATACTGCAATAGGGACATCTCTGAAATATTGGGGCTATAAACAAATTAGTAAAAGTTTAATAATATTTTTTTCTTTTACAAATTCAGGAGTCTTTTCTACGTAATTTTTTAAAATATATTTGAGACTCTTATGTCAATGTTTCACTTGGCTATGACCAGGATGGTCCTGGCTACAAAGTCTATTAGAGTATCATACCCTTGACTTGCTCCTAAGGTCAATTCCAGATCCTCCAATCCTATTCAAGCAAAAAAAAAAAAAAAAGAAAGAAAGAAATGAGATAAGCAAGATGGGCCATACTCCACTCATCGACAAATCAGTTTTATGTTACATACCAAATGTACTCAGCGATGATCCGATCAGTAAAAGGTTTGGTGTCTAGATTGAGAAGACTCTCAACTCTGTTGATTGTACTGTTATCAGATTGGAGAGCCATCACTTTAAAGCTTCTGACTTTGCTGGTGCTGCTTAGTTTCTTCTGTTTCAACACAACCGAGTTCCATAACTTTGACGATGAAATGGAGCTCGGTTTAGTCAATCTCATTTGACATGTTGGAGAAGCTGCCAAAATCTGCGCCATTTGGATCCCTGTTCTAGATCAAAACGTAGTATCCAAACCCAAATCAAGATTCCACAACTTTATCCAATAAGACTAAAACGGGATCAAGATTCTTGACCAAGACTTAATAAACTAAACCGAATTTACTAAAAGGTGATTAGAAAGTAACCAAAATGCATTGAGTTAAAGGGAAAAGACAAAGAGATTTAATTAAAATACCAAAAGGTTTCATGATCCTTGTTGATATTAACTCAAAAAGAAGAAGAGAATTGTAGATTAGTTAGTATGTGGTGGACCCAAGATCTACTGTAACTTTTTAGAAGCCAAATTAGCAAAGAAAGACAGAGTTCAACTTTTTATGACATTAGTTTTTGGAAAGATTCTCTTACCAGAAACAGATGGGTTTCCAAAATCAACTAACAAAGATCGGATCAATGCAGGAAAGAGGTAAAAGAACAAAGGAAATACCTGGAACTGGAACAAGACTCAACTCTGATTCCAGGAGACTTGAGTGTGTGCAACAAATGGCAAAGAAAGAGTTGACAAATATATGAAAGAGAAGCCTTAGAATTATAATATGAAATAGATAAAATAGAATATTTTTCTTTTAATGGCTTTTGCAAAAGAGATAGGGGTGTGCTCTACGAGTGGTGCAAATTTTAGTTTCAGTTTTGTTTTTATTTTTTGGAAAGAGCTCTGCAGATAAGGGTGTGTCCTTGTGCCTCTCAACTTCAATACAACAATGTAACAAATCTTGTATGTACACACGTGATGTAATACGTGTAAATATATATATATATATATATATTTTTTTTTCTTTTTTTTTTACGTGTAAATATATGCATAGAAGATGTGTATATAAGGAGCTCTTATCCGAGTTTCAAAAAAAAAAAAAAACTTTTATCTACTTAATCTAATTTATATGGACAGTTGAAAAAAAAACTCTAATTCACGTTCCGATAACTGATAAAAAACCAATTATTTTATTCTGTTTTCTAATAGATTTTGGAGATGATTGATAGGTGTTGCGAATACTTTACATCATTTTACTACAACCAATTAATTATTAATCATGTTTTATTACAAAATCTAAAACTATAATCTGTATATTTTAAAAGGAAAGATATATATTGACTTTAAAATCAATTTTAAGAAATATTTTATTTAGTGTTTAAAAAAGGATGAATTTCTGATATAAAAATAAGGAATTGAAAAATTAAGTATCTAATTATGTAAAGATTACATTGGAAAATGTATCAATTTGGTTCAAAAGTTGATATAGAACACTTTTTCGGGCGTGCTCATGTATTTAACAAGTTATGTATAACTAACGTACTATACTAGACTATATTTAGTAATAATAGTATAGAAAATTCTATCCCTGTTAAATTCAGTCAGTCGCATGTAATTGTAAATATACTAGAGCATATGCCAAAAGTTACCGTTGATCTTCCCCAATTCAATCACTCGCATCATTCTTCATCTTCTTAAAATATTGATTCACATATGTTTAAATCACTATCGTCGAAACTATTGATTGATAGATGTTTGGGTTGGGACAATGCCTTGGTGGATGCAACAACCAACTATGATAGAGCTCAATACTTTAGAGTTACTAAAAGTTATGAAGTTAGCTATATACAAAATGGTTAATCTATTGGACTAAGTGTATGCAAATATATTGGTCAATTAACATGCAAACAATTCTCAGCGTAAAAGCTTCTATGTTGAAAAAGTTTGCTACATAAGAGACTTACTTACACAACTTGTACCGAACTATTCCAAAATTTACTAAACTATATTGCATAACAGTATGCCGCACCCAACACACACAAAAAAATACTATACTATAATTATTATGTTATAGTATTGTCACTATAAACACAAGAGGATAAACTTCACTACAAAAGTAGGAATCCCATTAGCATTATTTTCTGAACCATGACTCAGCCAAGTGTTGCTGAGCTTCTGAAAGGACTAATTTTGTGACATATGCTTTTCAAATTGAAGTAGTTGTTGACTCTTTTCAGTTGGTTGGTTTGTAACCTGTCTGATACAAACACTCAGACAAGCCTAACTCATCCATCCTATATAATCACATGAAATACGTTAGGGTAGCAACACAATAATGCAAAATATTACGAAGCGTACACTATACTATTTCACCAAAGAGTTAGTATAGACACCAATATACGCAACATATGAACCAAATTGTACCATTATAAAGATGTAAAAAATAATTTAAACATTATTAATTATATAGGATAAGATATAAAGAGAGTTCACCCTAAAATTCTCTCTCAGACCCGCATTCCGAGGTGTGCCGCTTCCTATGGATCTCCTCCGCTCCAGCTCTGTTTCTCCTTCCGCCTTCCTTTGAAGCAGTCCTTTCCCTCCTCCATGGCTCTAATGGTGATTGTTTCTCCTCCATTGTTTTTCAGACCTCCTCCAGATCCGCCACCGTACTATCTTCCGCTTGAAGCTCTCTTCTCCAACGCTCCACCGGAACCTCCAGATCCTCCAGACGATGTCTATCTACTTGCTCATCTTTAAATCCTCGTCACCTCTGCAAAGCCTTCTCTTCAAGCTCTTAATGAAACCCATGTTTTAAAGCTTCTTGGTTCAACCATGATGACAAAGCTTTGTGGTGGTGGTGACCCTCGTGTGTCCTCCGGTGACTCTTCATTCGTCTATGGACGCTTATTTCCTGTTGTGTGCAGGTCCTCTCATTGTCGGCTCATGGAATGGTCTATTCTTAGATCTTGTTCTAACCTTCCTTTATACCCTCTTGTTACAGTCCTCCAGGTTCACCACAGCTCCTCCCTATTCGCTTACATTTATTCTCTTGAATGGCTTAGAATGCGAGATGTATGTGTGTTGAACTTGTGGCTCTTGGTTTTAGTTGTTAATGTCTCGTTGGACAGAGTTTCCTTTGGTTCTATCTTTGTGCCTTTGGTTCTTAAGATTTTACAGGATGCACAAGCTTGGAAGACGGCTCACACTAGTGTCAAAAAGTCTTCCTTACCACAGTGTGTGGTCTACTCTTCATCTTCATCTTCGTTGTTACCATCGGCTAATGCATATTAGGACTCATCAACAGGGAACTGCATAATTGGTTGGTTACTTCGTGATGCATACAGTTCCATTGCAGAAAGATATTCCTCTCACCGGCGTATTGTTTCTTCAGCTCTTGTGGTTGAAGCATTGCGGGCAAAGCGGCTATGTACGCTGCTCTCTCTTCACATGTCAGTAGTATCCGATTCTCTGACTCAAAAAACTTCATCTCGCTCTTGAAGACGCAAGGGCAAGATGTGGTTTTGAAAGGTGTTGTCCACGACATCAGTTTGTTGGCACGCTCTTTCACTTCTATCTTTTTTATCCATGTTTTGCGTTTAGCTAATGTTAAAGCTGACTCCTTAGCAAAGTCAGCTTTGTATTCTCTTCAAAACTCTGTTTCTGCAATTGATTAACTCTGCATCTTTTATAATATAAGTCTGTTGCGATAAAAAAAAACATTTAATTATTTTCCGAATTGTGCATGCTAAGAAACATGTAAACGTGGATAGATACCATAAAAATATAGTACCGGTACAAACAATATATAGTCTATGATAGTACAGCAACAACACTCTATCAACAATACTATTCTACTAACATTTGTGATATATAATAGAATTAGAATGAAAACCTTTCTTCACAATCATGGACGCACACATGAGTATATATATAAAGACACTAAAATATGTGAACTTGTGAAAATACACCTCAATTTACGCCAATTTACAACCATCACCGACAAACTATACTATAAACATTTCCCATATAGTATATATAGAGATAAAAGAAAGTAAACCTCACATGCACACACACAATAGATATAAAAGGGGCAACACTTAATTAATGTTCCATTTTACATAGCTTACAACATCATTACCTATGCTTGATTACCACACTACTAGTGGTCCCGTAATATAGCTGTAGCAGTTACATCTTACAGTATTAAAAGAGAGATAGATATAAACATCAGCTAGGCCATCCACATCTGCAAAAAAATAATCATCTAATAGGAGGCTTTCATTTTGCCACGTCCTTTTTCCTTTTTGTAAATGGGCCAACGAAATTATAAACTACTAAGCCCATAAGGCTCTTCAATACCAACAGTCATTATCATTCGTTTAGATGTTTTACGACGATTAGGGTTTTTTGTCTTCTTTTCGATGGGGACTCCTCCGTCTCAAGAGACCGTGATTCAGCCTGCTTCTTTTCCAGACCTCAACGGTTCCGCTTCACCCTCTTCAAATCGAGCCTCTCCTTGGCTGAAGAGTCCGACGTTGTGCCAATGGTTGATGGTGTGGCCTCGATACAGATTCCTGATGGGTCAACTATGAGTCTCTGCCAATGATAATCGGAAGATAGCTTGCCGTAAGTATATACATCAATGGTTCTGAGTCTTTCTTGGGCATACATATAACCCTCTTTTATATTTTCACAGATCCAGAGATGCAGAACCATATAGAGAAGACTCTTCATAGTGGTCATGCTTCATACAAACTTTCTGTGGATGTCTTAGTGAACCTTTCAAAGTTACGTCAAAATCTGATTTTTCTTTTGCTTGACTCAGGTTCATAAACGTCTGCGGTTGACCCTGGAATTGATTCAAATATTTCATTTTATTACTTTCTTGTGTCTTTCCAGGATGACAATAGTTTTTTTTATCCCTTTATAGGAAACTATACTGAATGCAATTGAAGAGAAAATTAGCAGAGAGCAACGCCTTACTTTCTAAATGAGCAGCTCAAGGCTATAAATAAGGTATTCTTCACTAACTTTTCTTCTTAGTTACGTCCACATACCAAGTCTGTATGATATATTAGCGTATTTGGTAGTCATTATAATTCTAAGATGATCCAATGCAGGAGCTTGGAGTGGAGACAGATGACAAATCTGCACTTGCTGGTCAGTACTAGCTTAAAGTATCTTCTTTTTCAAGTATCCACACAAGTGATTCACCATGCATTCATGAGGCGTCAGTGTCTTTAGTAACTGCAAATTATAGTCCATTCTTTATTGCAGAAATTCTTTATTGCAGAAAAGTTAAGGAAATGATTGATCCTAACAAGGAAAAGATTCCAGCGCATGTGTTACAAGTCATAGAAGAAGAGCTTACAAAACTACAGCTGTTAGAGGCGAGATGAAGCGAGTTTAACGTGACCCGAGTTTAACGTGGCCCGTAACTACCTTGATTGGTTAACCATATCGCCGTGAGGAAATTTACAGGTTTTCTACTGCAATTTATAGTCCATTCTTTATTGCAGAAAAGTTTAAGGATAGGATTGATCCTAACAAGGAAGAGATTCCAGCACATGTGTTACAAGTCATAGAAGAAGAGCTTACAAAACTACAGCTGTTAGAGGCGAGATGAAGCGAGTTTAACGTGACCTGTAACTACCTTGATTGGTTAACCATATTGCCTTGGGGAAATGACAGGTTTTCTACTTTTTCTTTAGTTTATATTTTATCTGTTTAAGTCAAGCAGTAGAATAGATCTTTTGGTATGAGAGAGACTGATAAAGGGAGGGAGGAAAATCCAAGATCATCTTATGGCACCAATGTTATTTGCTTTGTGTTAACTGACTGAGAATCTGTTTATTAAAATTGCAGTGATGAAAACTTTGATGTTGTGAGGGTACAATAAATTCTTGACGAGGATCACTATGGCTTATCTGACGTAAAGGAAAGGATACTAGAATTTATTG